CCCGATCGTAGTTCCTCAGGGGAGGAATCTTGTACTCCGCAATTATATATATATATATAGGTCTATATTGTAGGTCTGGTTTGAAAAGTGTCGTCGGGGCGGCTTCGGGATCCGACGATAAGTCCAGGGTATTATTGGATGAGGTTTTCATGCGCCTCTCGAGCCTCGGTTTTATCGTGCCCCTCTTGTTCTTCGTTCCTTCAAGTCACGTCCAGGGTGGAGGGCACCTCCCAAAACGACAGCCGAAGCCACGGGGGTCTTCGTCAGGTCTCGGTGCATATCTCCTGGAGTCAGGCGGAGATCCGGGGGGGGAGAGTCTCGTGAGGGAGAGACTTGGTAAGTGGAGTGAAAGCTCTGGGAGTCTCGTGTGGCTGCTAGTTCTTTGTAGCGCATTCTTTGATCCGTCTGACGTCCATCCATCTTTTTGGTTGGAATTTGAGGCCTTTGCCACAGAAACATGTGCAATCAACGATGTCATCCACAGCAACGGCACTTTCCAGAAGATCCCCTCAGACTAGGCCCGTCACGTGTCATAGGGCGTCTTCCCTGCAGGTTTGTGCCGGTTCCACCCGGGCACGGGACTCTCCAGGATGGGCCGGGGCGCGACCCTGGCCGGCGTCACCGGAAGCACGTGCAAGCGCAGAAGCGGCTCGGCGGAAGCGCAGCCGGTGGACGGGGAGGAACGCAGGCGTGATGCGTGGTAGAAAGCACCGGGGGGTTCTCTCCAGGATTTTTCCGTTCTTGTAGGTTGAAAGCCTTTTTTAATATTATCAGCTCTTGGAGGTTTTTGGGGTAGCGCTGTGACATGGTCGCAAGAAATGAATCGCCCTTCGAACTCTGTGCACGATGACCATGTCCGTTTCCCATGTCCCGATGAGTTCTGAATCGAAAGGGTTTTCGGTTCAGAGCCCGAGGCAAGGCTCTGTCTCGAACACGGTGAACGACATGAGACAAAAGGCGACTTAGCACGGCACACGGTCTGCAACGACTTGGCAAGGGGTTGTACAGAGGCCATCACAACTAATCGGAGATCATGCGTCGCAGAGAGAAGTTTGGTCTATACTAGATTCCAGTGTCCATACTTTTGGGGGAAGCAGGGCTTGGCCCTGCACTGGGTGTGATTTCTGCAAGCCATGGCGAAAACCGCAGCTCACCATGGCTTGTCAAGTACTCACAGGATGCTCTCCAAGATCTTTTTGGTATTTCGGGGGCATTGCAGGTTGAAGGTCCCCTGAAAGGTTTCACTCAGGTTCTTTCCAGACATCTTCAAGACAAGACAGATATGTCATTTTTCCCACTTCCCGATTGAACTCCTTCTCCACTTAACACGGTGAACCTCTCACTCGGCCGACACCTAGGGTGGGGCGCTTAAGCGTGTTGGAAGGGCTCTGTGAAGAGGCTGAGGCTGGGTGCTCAGGGAGCCTGGGTGCTCCGGCATCCCCCGCCCAGTTCGGAGCTCTTTGATGAACGTTTTTCAAACAAAAATCTTTCGAGGGGCGCGCACATTCACTTTGCCCTAACAATCATGCATCGGCAAAGGTGAAGGCTTTGCGGGTTTTGAGGGTCTTGAGGGTCCAAGCCCTCCATGAGGGTCTGATGCTGCCTGGGTGGAACTCTGCGGATGGTGTTTGAGAGAAGCTCCACGGACGAGGGGATGTAAGAAACATCGCCTGGACCCGGCGGAGAGACCAGGGGCCGCTGAACCGGCCAAACCGCCGGAGTTTCTTCAATGCCCAAGAGCTTTGTTGTGATGCTGCAAGAGCTTCAATCCCCAAAGTTCATCTCTTCTCAACGTTTGTTGAAAAACTTGAGCCGGTTTCTATCCATTCTTGAACTGCTATCAGAGGCATTTCCTTTGGGGTCACCGGGGTTGTTGAAACGATCAATCTCCAGCGAGGTGCTTGCACTCGTCCTTCTTTGGATCGCAGAGCGAGAAGTTGCCCTCTAGCCATAGCAACCCAACGATTCCTTCTTTCATTCAAGAGGTTGTGTTTCGGGTATGTGGATCCTTTGTCCAGCAGATGGAGATCTGCTTCGTCTGATCGTGCGCACCCTGATGCAATGCAGGAGGCGGATGGCAAGAGATTCTGCCTGCCCGGTGCCCAAACTGTTGCGAGTCCGGCCGACGAAACTGGTGAAGGACACCTAAGATACCTAAGGACACCCAACTGGGTGTCGGACATGAGGGACAAACACGGATAAACAGGTTGCTGCATGGCCTGGAGCGGGTCCGAAATCCTAGGTCCGAAGATCAGGGTCCTTGGCCCTCAATCTCAGCCCCCTAGGCTCTAGATCAACTGTTCTGATTGGATGGATCTGGGGGTCTCATGGCGCCCCCCCCTAGGCCCCAACAGGTCTGGGTCTCTCAGGGCTCGGAGACGAGTTGAAAGGCTCTTGGGCAGGTTGGTGGGCGGGTTGGTGGGCATCCCTTCTGTCCCAGGCGCAGCATCAGCAAAAGTCGGTCGTTCTTAGAAAGCTTCTTGGAGCGCAAAGAGGTGCGAGCCTCATCGTGAAGCTGGCGGGGAGATTCGGCGATGGGTGGATGTGAAAATGGATGGGTGGCCACATTGTGAAGCTCTCGATCTGTCTGGTCCACCCGGAGGCTTCATTTGAAAGGTTAGACGGTTAGACGCAACATTTCAGGCATGGTGCCCTCTTTTTTGGAGCACCAACCACCTGCAGATAGCGGTGCCTTGTATCAGGTGACCATTTTGAGGGCTTGGTATTGAGATTTGGCGTATGAAAACAGGTAGGATGCTCAAGATGAAAGAAGCGCGTGGTGATTGAGCAGAAACATTCAGAACTATACAAGCTTGTCATTTATATGTGGGATTTTGTTGGTGGCGGCAAAAAGATCACTGTCTAAAGGCAAGCGCAGTGTAAAAAAGAAACGAACAACGATTTTGTGGGTCTTTTTGAACCTACCAAGACGTGACATCTTCAAACCGCACACCAGGTGCGGCGGACCGTGGAGGATTTGAGCTTCCCCGAACGGAAGGCGAGGCGTCCGCCATGTCCGCCACGAAGGAGACGGACTTGGGTGCCAGGAGCTATGTAAAGAGGTTGCACCTCAGACGGAAAGAATCGGTTTGGTGGAAAACCACCACCTATTGGGTCTTTGTTTGGTCTTTGGGGCCATCCTATCCACGTGACCAGGATGATTCCAGGGAGTCTACGCTTCTTCAGCCAAATGGACCCGGCCGCTTTCGCACCTTTGACGCCGTCGGTGGTGGACTCGATGTTTTGAGACAGTCCAAGCTGGGGCTGTTGAGGCCAAGCGGCCGAATTTTCCGCTCGGAATAGTGATTAAGCATGTATTGTTGATAAATGTTTTTGTACATTGATTCAGTTTTGTTGCGCTTTACCACTCTAGGGTGTTCTGAATGGATCTGAATGGTATATTAAAACCTGACTAAATCGTTTCAATGAAAAGCCAATTCCCTCATTTTTCCTCTCCAGATGCTTCTGCGACACATGGCGGTGTTGAACAGCCCTGCCATCTTCGAAGGAGGTGGCAGATCGCGAAGAGACGGAACAAGTCGTGAAGAGACTGGAAGAGCGTGGCACTTGTTACTAGAAGCGATGCACTTGGAACAAGTCGTGAAGAGACTGGAAGTGAATCCTGTACCACCCGGAGTCCAAGTCCAATGCTTCCAATGCAACAGCAGGGTTCCTTTTTCAATCTTTTCACAGGGTTCCTTTTTTGGCACAGGTGCGCTCCCCTGAAAAAGAACTGTGGACTGCCGTTTGGTGCATCCATTTTCGTTCCAACATCCCACGTGTTCTTTTTTGCTCCTCGATCCTCCTGAGCTTAGTCCTTACTTGATTTGAACTTTGTCCCTTTTCTCCTTGCCCCCAGCTCCTCGACCGGCCAAAAAACCGGTCTAGGGCTGCGACATGAACGTCTGGGGCGCAGCGCCCGCGCGGCCTGCCGGGAGCGCCGGAACGTGGAACGACAGGAGGTTTAAAGGAATTCTTCACATAGTGAACTCACTGACCCCAGTTGGATTGAACAACCTCTTATATAATTTTATGGAAGGTTTTTTGGTATCATCAAGAGTCTACATGAAGTTGAGTCATGTTGAGTAGAAAGGACATCTTGAGCGCCAAGCCGAGCAGAGGAACACCGGGTCTCACTGGTGAGAGTCTAGATCAAGGAAGAAGGGGGATGGCATGTGATGTAGCAACTCCCTGTGTTTCTTTTTTTGGGGGTACTACTGGACACATGTTGTTTGAGTCGGTTCAACACCTGAACTCCCCAAAAAGCCACCTGGTTGTTCCCCTGGTTGTCGCCACGGCCGTGACTCACGGCCTGGCTCTTCAGCCACACCTCTTCAGGTCGAGCGGGCACCGAAGCCATCACCTCGGTGATCTGCCTGGTGGGGCGTCCCTAGAGGTGGACGGCCACCATCGGGGGGCGATGGATTCCCCAGAGAGCGATGGATTCCCCGTATGGTTCTTACTCCATAGTTTCTGCAGGAGGGGGGACATCACCTTCCTGTCTAGCCTCTTGCTCAGCAAAGCATCCTTAAGAGATACATACATCAAGTGTCATCAAGCGTGTCATTCGAAAACCGCCTCTTCCGCACCAACCCCTTGGATCAGTCCAAAATAGACGCGAAGCGCAAGCACCCTCCGCACCGGCGTGTGACCTTGAAGCAGAAAACATCCTTCTGAATCCTTCTGGAGTTGGTCCATAGAAGGTGTTGCTCGGAGGAAGAGACTCATCCGGAAACAAGAAGCACAATGACAATAATAGTAAAAACTATCATGACGCATAGACCCCAGATAGCAAAGATTATTAGCTCCATAGCAGCAGCAATGGCAGGCACTCTCAAACTTCCGAAACAATTCCTCTCAAGTGTCCCGCTTCCACATCTAAGGCTATCAGCTGCTTGAGTGTCTTGTTGACCACCATGGAAGGCATTAGCCAGGCGCGCAATCCCGGAGACAGCCAATCCCCAAATCTGTGTTTTTCCAATCTCGCCAGATTGGTGTCTGAATCCTGGAGTCCCAAGTTGCAGCATTCTTCTGAGTCACAAAATTCATTTTCTCGCGTTTTCGACGAGATAGGGGCCAAATCGACAGGTTTGCATCGTTTGCCTCTGCGGGAGCGTCGCTTCAGTGTTGGGCCGCCTAGCAAACGCTGCCGTGTTTGCAACAGACCGATGTGAGGTTGGGAATTGGGAATCTGAACATGTCACTGCCTGTGGAAGACTGTTTTTCTCATGTTAAATTCCATTTTGTGGGGGGGGCTGAAAATGGTTTTGCTTTTTGTAGCTCTCGTGTTCTCTTCAACCGAGCTGGGAACACGCCTAAGATGGCCGACCGGAACCCCGTGCTAGTGAGCGGTCAGCATTCCGCATGGTTGTTGGACAAAAATGGGTTCACCCTTCACACTTCAACAAACTTCTCGGCCGTTTTATTGGAGAGGTGGCTTGAGGCTTACAGTTTCTCTGGATGTTTAGAGATGAGTCTTGTTTCAGGATGCTTCTCTCATTGTTTCTTTGGGTCGTATCTTCGTTTGGAGACGGTATTGTTCAAGAGACTCTGCACCAGCTGGAGGGATGAACCGTCCTTGACGGTTTGGCGCGCGCTCGGACGAAGACCGCGCCCCTGACCGATCAGGGCGCTCCGAAGGGCGCCGGTGACCTGCGAGGAGGTCACTAGGGACCTTAATGGTGTTCCTAGTAGCGATGCCAGTTTCGCCCCGAGTAAGTAGCGTTGGGTGCTGCAAGACTTCTTCAACTTGTTGGACCCTTGTGGCTGGAAGATCCCTTTCATACCTGGGCCATCATCTGCTGTTTGCTTGGTGTCCGTTCGGCTAGCCTGGGCTAGACCCATGATCTGCTTGGACGCGGCGTTCGTTGGGAAAAAACACGGTCTTCAATCGCTGTCCATTCGTTTCGTCGTTTTGGTGCGGGATGCTTGCCGAGGCTCTTGACGGTCGGCATCCATCCGGTGCGGAGCATAATTGGCGGGAGAAGATTTGTGGAAAGAAGGTGAGCTAGGTGAGCCTGGAATAGAAATCTCCGGACATCTAAAACACATGGGGAACACATCTGGCTAGATGTTTGAGGACATGTTTCTCAATCTACGACATTCAGAAGTCAACATCATAGAGCATTGTGGAGTTGTCATCGACTTCAGTAGATGTTGCAGGGGCGATTTGGGAGGTGTTGGGACGTTTTGAAGCAAACCGCCCTGCCCATTTTGGTTCGATGGGTTGGGCTCAGAGGTGGGGTCTACAGATCCCTACAACCCTGCTTGGAAAACCCGAACATGGGCGAGGATGCCACCTCCGTGTTGTTGAGGGGCCCAGAGGATCTGAACCATAGATGTTCCAAGAATCTGTCCAGGGGCCTCCACGTAGCTTTGATCCTTCACCGGTCTCTTTGGCCTTTGAGCACGGAGCCAGATTCGGCACTCCTCATGGATGAGCCAAGTTCGATGAAACTCGCTCGGTGGATCGCTGCTTGGGAGTGGTGAGACAGAGAGACAAGATGGGCGGCCACGTCACAGCCAGAGCCTCCAAGGGCCACCAGGGTGGACCGTGTTGTGATGTCATGACCAGGTCTCTTCTGGTTTATCATGGTTTGTCAATGGTGTCCCCGGCCCATCTCCCGCTTTTGGCCAACGAAGAATTCGCTGCTCCCGGGAGCTGCACCTCTACCTGCACCTCCGCTTGCCACGGCGAGTGGGTGTGTACTAAAATAGGGAGACCTCCCAGTTCAACCCCCTGGAAGGTTTCAGAAATAGATCCATCTACCGACCCAGCCTCGTGACCGGGTGACCAGGGCCATCTCCCTACGTCAAATGCCTAAGGATCTCTCGCATCCTCATCTCGCGATCGCCAGGTCCTCATGCTCGTCGGCTTCGGTCCGGCCAAGGCGCGGGACCTCGCTGTCGGACGGGACGACGGGGCGACGGCGCCGCGACGGCGAGGTGAAAGGCCGAGCCTGGGCGCTCTACGTTTGGTGGCTCAGCGCTGGATGTCCAAGGCCTGGAGATGGGCTCCAACGGAGATGTGGCTGGGCTCCAAGGGTAGAAACCCAAGTTCTTGGTGTGTCAGGACAGACAGACATTCAATTCAAGGTGTCAGCGCTGGAAGTTGCCAACCCTTCCATATTTCCTCGCCAATGTTAGTTTGTTAGTTACACCCAACATCTTGCTTCGTGTGATCGACCAATGCAGGGATTTCACCCAATGGCAGTTCAACATAGTTCAACACATCAGGATACATCAGGCAAGTTAGCATGTGATGGAAGTTGCATGGCCCCATTTCTCACCACATCGGCCCAGGGGCCTTTGTTTGGACTCATGGGAACTGCCCGAACCGCCGAACCTCAGGTGGTTGCTGCGATCCCCTCCATCTTCCGGCCATGTCTGCTTCCGATCGGGATGATGCACGATGCACGAAGCACGAAGCTGGGATGGGAACTGCCCTGCTGAAAACCCCGCGACGAGGGGAAAAAAACCCGAGACTAAGAACCACCGCCCCACGCAGCTTTAATCCACGGATCCCCCACATCTGCCTTCACCATGTTCAATTCACCAGTTGGAAATCTCATCAAAATCTCTGATTAAAAACACCAGTTCCATGCGTCTTGTCACCACACCCAGCTCAACCACCAAGGGCATTTCCGCAGCGATGCGGCCCCCGCCCCACCGACAGGCCTTCCAAAGAGCCGCCTGAAGGTGGGCGCCGGCCACGTCCTGGGTCGGTCCTGGGCGGGCCTGCGTCATCCTGGACATGGGTATCCTGCTTGATTGGACCTCCAGCCACACCCATGTCCAGGATGATCCTGGAAGGTTTTGGGCTGTCAAGAGGATTCCGTTCGGTTTGAACAAAAAGAACTGGTCCGACCGTCGAACTGAACGGTCCGATTGGTGGGGTGAAGCGGCACGGCCACTTCAGCCCGTGTAGAGAACGACGCATCGGTCGGTGGAGGGCGTCTGCGGTGAGGCGAACTGTCTCGGTTCAGAACTGTTCTCCAATTCTCCAAGGAATTATTGAGGGTTTTATCGGCTAGTTTTCTCGCGGACCATCCGGACCTGACCAGTCAGGGCTGGATGAAAACGAGACGAGTTCTGGGGCCTAGCGGCCTAGCTGCTTGGGATGTGTCTTCTTTGAGCTGCTTGGAGAAGGGTTGGTTCTGTGTTCTGGGCACAGGTCCGGCCTGGAAGAACAGTTCCTGACCCTGGTATTTTGCTCCTGTTCTGAGAGGTTCATGACCCTGCCCTGCAAGAACCAAGAAGAACCACGACCACCCCAGGGTCCCTAACGTGAACTGACAAGAACAGGCTGCTCTGATGAGGTTCCAGCGGTTGAGAGGTGACCCCACTCACAAGGTGAGGTGAACAAGAGCGACACCCCGCCAACATAGAAACCAGTCTGCTGATAGCAAGAAAAGGAGATGCGATGGCCTTCAACCTAAAGAAAGAGATGGATGGATGGAGATGGGTTTGATGGATGGAGATGGCCTTTAGAGTGAGTCGGACTCTCCCCCCCTGTAAATCCCGCCGAAAGACCGAGCGAGCCGCCTGTGGCTCGAAGGCAGCGGGGCATTCCACGAGGGTGAAGAGTCACTGCACTTAGACGTAGAGGTTGAAAAACCGTCCTTCAAAGAGGAGTGTAATATTAAATCTGAGAGACCCCCAATCAATATTATTGTAGAGATCTATATGGTGTCTATATGGGTATATGGGTGTATGGGTGTCTATATGGTGTCCTTCTGAGGTGTCTATGGGTGTCTATATTTTTGTAGGGATGATATGGTAAACCACGCGTGGATGTTCCACGAGCGCGTGGTGAGTTCATGAGTTCATCGACACTACGAGCGTGTGGTGAAAAGAACAAACACCGAAGCGAAGGCGTCTGGCGAGCGTGTACGGGCCTGTAGATATGACATGATATGACTAGATCCCACTAGCTTCAAACCAAATCATGTCCATGATTCTGTTGATTCATACCGCACATCCTCCCAAAAAGACACATGAAGAAAGCAAGGCGCCTCCACCGAGTCACGTTCAAACACACGTGAACCGCTGAAAAACCCGAACCGTGGACGTGCTCCCACCATGCCGGCCCCTCGTGATGAAGTCCCAGGCAGGGCCGGTCTCGGGTCTCGGGCCTCGGGTCTCGTGCCACGCCGGTCTCGGATCCGAAGGATGCGGGAGACGGGAGAACCGCCTAACATCGCCTATCTTAAGCCGAAAGGTGTTGAAGAATGTGGAAGGAACGCGTTGGGAGGACATGGAGTTATACAAATAGGATGTTGTAGGCAACACCTCCATGTGCGAGTGGATTGGGCATGAATGTGTCGGGCCAACTCTTCTCGTCCACATCCTTTGAGAACAGTTCAAGGTTTTTCATCCCTCACCCGGAACTTCGGCTCATGAACTACCCTAACTGGTAGTAACAAGGGCGTCGCCACTAGTTAATAGTAACAAGGGCATTACTACTAGTCGCTAGAAGCTACTAGTAACAAGGGCATCGCTACTAGTCATGATCACTTCTAAGAGGGCCAAATGAGTCAAGTGGGACTTCTATAGAATGGGTCGGCCACTCCGCGGTCCTGCTCCGTCCGGACCCTGCGCCAGGACTCTGCTGGCCGGCCTTTGCGCGTGGAAGCTGAGTCCGCACCGCGCTGCAGTCGGTGCAGCTGTTGGTGAACTCTGTGATTTCAGCCCACCGGAGATCTGGAAGTTGGGTGCAGAGAAATGGGCGAAAGCAAGGGAGTCATGGTCCAGTGAGACAATTCACCGCACCAGTCAATCGTTCAATCGTCACCGTTCAATCGTTCGGCGTTTCAGCCTGGTCGGTGGATGAGCGGCACTGACTCACGGGACCGGGACGCTCGAGGACGCTCTCCACGGAGGGCACGAAAGAGAATGGAGTAGATGGCACAGGGTCACAAGGGGCATTTTTCAGAGGGTGTGTATGGAGGCAAGTTGGAAGGCTCCGCTCCATGCATCAGAAGGGGTGTGTAGGTCTAAGCCACCTCGGAGTCCATCTAGTTCTGAAACTGGAAGGCCCAGTTCAACTCCCGCGTTCTCAGGGAGTCCCGGCCGATGACCGTGCTGGACTTGCAGCGCGCATGTGCGCGACTGGGGGAGGTGGAGGATGAGAGGGAAGTTCGTGAGTACTTGGAGGTGTACACTCCCTGACATATCTGAAATCATCATGGAAGTGGATGGCATGGCTCCTTGGATGACATTTTCGTGCTTTTCCACTCCCATGATTGTTCCAGAGAGGTTTGTCGAATGGAGTGACCCCAAGTTGGACCCCCTGCTACAAATCAAGGAACCCGTTGGGCACTGGGTGGAGCCCAGTTAGGCGGGGCATTGTCTGGATGAAGGGGTATGGTTGAAGCCATGCTTCTGAACGTACGCTGTTTTACAGGAGTGAAAGATGAGGTCAGAATTGGAAAGCCGGTTGCTTCTGGGTATGCATGATCATGTTCTTTACCTTTGTGTAGGTGCTAGAGTCTTCATTTTCAGTCTTGCAACTATATGTTTCAATCTTCCAAACAGCCAGATGAGCTCAGAGCTCTGTTTGACACCCAGAACGGGCGCCGAAGCTCTTCAGGACGTGTCGCTTTGAGAAGTGCTGCGTCGCTTTGAAGCTGCGCCCCGCTGCCAGGTTCTTCCAGCTCCAGAAGTCCAGACGTTGATCGCATCCATGTGGAAGCAAGCCGGCGTGCCTTGGCCCAGTTCGTTTTGAAAGCTTTTGAGAGGCTTGGCTTGGCCCTCACTGAGGGCTCCTTTCTTTTCTTTTTTAGGGAAGGGTAGGGGACGGGTGCTATGTTCTTGCTGGAAAAAAAGTACCAGTCGGAGGCATGTCGATCCCATCGACACTTCGATTTTCCAACACCTGTGAAAATTCGATGCGGTGCGCTTTGGCTCATTTTTTTCCGTACCTTAGGGTACCTTGACTCCAAAGAAATATGGAAGTGGATCAACAGGTGGACGTAAGGCCTAGGTTCATTGAGAGTCTTGCCTTGATCAACTGAAACTGGACCACAAAACATGTGATCTTCCAACGGTCCAGGACGCCCACTTCCATGCCTCGGCAGCCGCCCCGGAGCCAATCAAGAACTGTTTCCGGGGAATTCTGTTCTTCATCTCTGAGTCGAAGTCACAGTGGCTGGCCCTGGAAGACTTTTTACTTCTATTTTTAAAACTGTTCTTCACTTTCAGGCCAATTCTCTGAGCCGCCTCCTGCATTTCCTGCACAGAATCTGGTGGAGACGCTGCCGAGCATCGGCAGATACTTCCGCCGAAGTCTTCCCACTTGGGACTCTGGCTCCAAACAGCAGCAGCACCATGTCACCACCCAACCGCCGTATGAAACATGCCGCAGTGACAAAAACATAACAATACCATCACCCTTCAATTGAAACCATCAACACGCCCACACGCCCACGAAGTTTGATCAACAATAGACACCGCGTTTTTGGGGTTCCAAGATTCGGGTATTTCAGACCAACGACTGCCATCTGCCGACCGAGCCGAATGATGCCAGGTGCCTCGGCCGAGTCAAGGATGGCTTCGTTGCAAGAGGCCACTGATTCCGTGAAATCCAAGAGGAGCAGCTCATGTTCAAGGGATGAAAAACACATTTCTCATTTCAGGGAAATAAACATCCATGCTATAGGTGTGGGGACCTGTGTTTGAAGCTCATCCAAGGGTGTCCATGGGGGGCTAATACTTCCCTGGGAGGGGACAAAGGAAGTCTTTTTGAATCGGATGCAGTATGCGAAATGATTTCCCCATCTTCAAAGCTTTCTTAGCACACGCCCTTGCCGCAATTCCCCCCAACGCAATCGGCCGGGTCCCGCAACATTAGCACCGACCGGGGCAGCATCAGCACCGTGTGGAAGCTGAGAATCTCTCGCCATGGCAGAGAGCAGTTGGGCGTCGTTGCTCCACTGGTCCAAGTGGATGGCTTTGGCCAACGGATCCTGGCACGCCTTGATGGCTCAGGACGGGAGGTCGAGAAAACATTTGGATTGCTGTTCGTCAGTGGTTCAAAAAGGTGTGTACTTTGGAAGCCTTGAGATTTGTTGAATTCGGTTGATTGTTGTTGCTTTTACAACTTGTTCACCGTGGGACATGATTGATGCTTAGGCCCCTGCAGAGGCCATGCTTTTGCTGTCTTGGATGCTCTCGAGCGACTCCACTTCACCAGCTTTGGCACCAAACGAAACTGACCGAAGGGACGCTGGTCCGACGGAACAAGGGACTGCGGTGATGTTCATGTCCAACCACCCCGTCTCTTGGCTTTGGAAACGGAAGGTCGACTGTTTTGGGAGAGAGTTCCGTTTGTCCATCCAAGTTAGACCTGACATGGGGAAAGGGCTTCACTATTTGCAGAAGTCTTGGAGATCCTGGATGGTACAGGATTTCTATGAATTCCTCCATTCACTTATTGTACAGTAATCCTTGATTCTATACACACTCGGCATGCCTTCGTCGTCCTTTTACCTGATCTCTGAGTTAGCGTTTTCGCTGGCCCCCCTCCCTGCCCGCGCTTCGCTTCGCTGTGCGCGGCTTCTACTGCCCTGCTACCCGCCTTCCACCAGACCCACCCGGTGCGAGCGCGGTTCGCCCGCCGTGCTCCGCGATGCGCGGCAGAGGTCTTCACGAAGGCCGTGGTGCCGCGCTTGCGTGAGGCTGCTGGGCGCTTCGTGGTGGTGAGCAGCGTCGCGGAGGTGGGGGAGTACTGCAAGGCGGGTG